AGAGAGCACCAGGTGCACGCTGTAGCGGACACGTGGGGGGTGGGGCTCTGGGAGGACATCAACAGACTACCTTCCAAAACTGGACGACAGCGCTGTAGCTGTCATTCGGCTACAGCATGGTCAGCAAGCGGTTAAATCAGGAGTCACTGGGCCCCTCAGAATCCTCTACACCAGGGAAGTGCTCCTGACCCCCACCTTACCAAATGGGTGCTTCAGTTTTTTTCCCATGAAGATCCTTCAAGACCCCCATCATGCCAGCAGCGGCACTAAGCAGCCAGCCATCCCATCCGAAGGCCAGAATGACAGCGGAGCTCCCCTACAGGACCTGATAAGGACAGATAGTACACTTGATCTTCGCTAAAAGAAGCAAACCGAGGAGCGATAGTATACCTGGAATTACGCTTTAACTAGTTCCCCGCCCGGCCTATTGTAATATGTCGGTCGGGCGGGACTTTTGTCATTCAGGGTGGGCCTCATATGACGTCCTCCCAAAACGCACCTTGCACACGGATGTGGGATCCCACTGGACACACTCGATGACTGATCACCGCACCGCACCGGCCTGTTGACCAATCACAGCAGATCACATGACAATTATAAACAATGAACGGCTTCCTTTCATGCCATGCATTGCTTGCAATTGTGTTGCTAGCCGTGATTGGTCACAGTGATCACATGGTACAGAGGGGGTTAATCCGAGCCCATCTGTACATGTGACAAATCACAGCTAATCACAGCAATAGATACTGAATTCATTAGTTTCATTCACTAAAAATGGTTGTTTTTACCAGCAAAATTTACTGGCATAAAGCAATCATGTGTAGTAAAAAACAAAATCCTGATCACTTGCTCAGAGTAGTACAATGTTACTATGGTAACATTGTAGTGTTCTGGTCACAGGGGTAAAAAAAAAAACAAACAAATTTAACAAATTTAATAATAAAAAAATAATTATTTTTTTTAAACCTCTTGCCGTCCGCCTGCTGTTGATAAACGGCAGGGCGGTGGCACTCCAGGGGAGGGTTGCCATTCATAAACGGCAGCCGCCTTTTCTATTCGGTGCCCGCTGTGTCCTCCGGACACAGTGAAACACCGATCGTCGGACGGGACCTCTGTACGAGGTCCCGATCATGTGATCACTGATTGGCCAATCAGTGATCACATGCAAAGTAGTAAGTAAGATGTCACTTGTGACATCATTGCTTACTACGTGTGAAATCTGTGAATGATCACAGAGGTCACATGGTACAAGGCTATTCACAACAGCCTTGTACCATGTGACAAGCTGTGACCAATCACAGCTCAATCAGTACTTCTCAATGACTGCAAGAATGCAGACAGAGAGAAAGAGAAATGATTGCTTTTACATCCTATATGGGTGTAAAAGCAATCAGTGTAAAAAAAAAAATCATCACCCCCCACAAGTATTACAGTGTCACCATGGTGACACTGTACTGCTAGGGTGACAGTATGTAAAAAAAAAAAAAAATAATAATATAAAAAAAATAAAATAAAAAATGTAAAAAAAAGTTTAAAAATTATAATTTTTGGTTATAAACTAATTTGGATTATTTTTTTTTTACTAAAAAAATAACGGAATAAATTTTGGCCAAGATTTATGATGAAATATTATTTATTTGCAAAATTTTATAAAAAAAACCCACTTTTTTTTTCAAAATTTTTGGACTTTTTCATTTACATAGTAAAAAAAATAAAAATCCCAGCGGTGAATAAATACCACCAAAATAAAGCTTTATCTGTCTCAAAAAAATGGTCAAAAATTCATATGGGTACAGTATTGCATGATCGCGCAATTGTCATTCAAAGTGTGATAGCGCTGACAGCTGAAAATTGCCCTGGTCAGGAAGGGGGTACAAGTGTCCGGACTGGAAGTGGTTAATATAACAGGCACGCCAATGTTATCATGACACTGTACTACATAGGTGACAATATGTTAAAAAAAAAAAAAATGATTTCTTAATTTTACAAAAAACGATGACAAAGTTACTTCAAAAAACTTGCCATGCCTCTTAAATACCCCAGACTGTCTACTTCCTAAAAAGGGGTCATTTGGGGATATCTGTAATGTCCTGACATTTTTGGGCCGTTAGTACATCAGGACCGATCGATTTTCAGATATATCCCATAATTTGTGGACTTTATCACTTTCCTACCAACGAAATAATATACACTGATTTGGTTTATTGTCACCAAGGACATGTAGCAGTATACACTTTGGCCTCAATTTATGAAGAACAATATACTATTTGCAAAATTTTATAAACAGAAAAAAAGAAAAACTTGTTTGTTTTCTAAATTTTAAGCCTTTTTTATTTGTTTATCAAAAAATAAAAACACCCGGGGTGATTAAATACCAGCAAAAGAAATCTTTGTGTGAAAAAAAAATTATAAAAACTTCATATGGGTACAGTGTTGCATGACCGCGCAATTGTCACTGAAAGTGTGAGAACGCTGAAAGCTGAAAATTATCCTGGGCAGGAAGGGGGTAAAATTGCCCAGTATTAAAGTGGAACTACAATGCATCCAAGCACCAGGGGCGGACTGACCATTTAGAAACTCGGGCACTGCCCCAGGGCCTGGGGTCAGTAGGGGGCCCCATAAGATGCCCCTGGTACATTTGTCATAGGCTTTTTTGGGTTTGGGCAAGGACACAGGGGCCCCATGATCCCCTATTGCCCGGGGGCCCCATGAGTTGTCAGTCCGCCCCTGCCAAGCACCACAAACTAAATGGTATTTAACTCATTTATATTATTCAAATCAAACTCCCCCGTCCATTCCTGTCTCCAATTATTTTGTTAACCGCTTCTGCGCCGCCCTATAGTAGAAATACTGCTACAGGGCGGCATGGGTGTGCAAAATCATATATATATATATATATATATATATATATATATATATATATATATATATATATATATATATACACACACACGATTTTTCAGTTCCGGGTAGTACCTGCACCGCCATTTTCGCGGCCTCGGCTGTCAATCCCCAGGTCCCGGACGGTGATTCCTCGCCGGCACCCAGATATCGCCAAGCATCTCCGACAGGGAAGAGGCCTGTTTATAAACAACACTGATTGTTCTGTCTCTCCAATCTAAGCATTAGTGAACAAGCAACCTCAAGAAGGCCAAGGAACACACCAGACAGGTCAGGGATAAAATTGTGGGGAAGTATAAAGCAGGATTAGATTATGAAAAAATATCCCGAGCTTTGAACATCTCGCGGAGCACTGTTCAATCCATCATCCGAAAATGGAAAGAGTATGGCGCATGTTCTGTCTCTCCAATCTAAGCAATGATAGTGTGATCTCTGTAACTTACAGTTGTGATGAGATAGCGATAACTCCAATCTTAGTTGGATACCACAGTCAGTGACTCAATCGATAAGACATCTTGTAGATCTTGTGAGGTTTATTCCATGAACTGAGAGAATCTTACAACAATGAACATTCGATAGGTCAAAAGATCATAATATTTCCTGCTTCATGACATGAGGCTAGAGCTGCAATGCATTACTGGGAAAGGGGGAGGGCTATCTATACAGCTTTTACTAAAGCAAAGGAAAGGGAGGAGCAGCAGACACAAAATATAGAAACACAAAGGCATATGAAAGTGAATATGACAGACATGTGAAACATGACACTGACCTCTCCCGTCAGCTCTTGCACACTGCTTTGTATGGCTCTGAATAGCATAGCCATACAAAGCAGTATGCTTACACTGCCATACCCACGCCACCATTGGCGGCTACAGCTGTCGATCACCTGGTCCGGAGATTCCCCACCGACACCCAGCGAACGCCAAGGAACACTGACAGGGGAGAGGTCTGTATGTAAACAATACAGATCTCTCCCCTGTCAGCTTCAAGATAGCAGAGCAATACAAAGCAGCATGCTTATATAGTAAAACAGCACACAGTTAACCCTTTGATCGCCCAGATGTTAACCCCTCCCTGTACAGTGTCATTAGTACAGTGTCAGTGCTTTTTATTAGCACTGATCACTGTATTGGTGCTGTATTGGTGTCACTGGCAGTCACTGTCAGTGACACCAAGTCAGTTCCCACCAGTGTCAGAATGCCTGCCGCAGTCCCCCTATAAGTTGTTGATTGCTGCCATTATTAGAAGAAAAAAAAAAAATTCCAGTATCTATACCACCATTTGTAAACGCTATAACTTTAACGTAAACCAATTAGTTTACACGTATTGGGATTTTTTTTAGCAAAGACATGGAGCAGAATACATTTTGGCCTAAATTTATGTCAAAATTTTATTTTTTTACATTTTTTTACTGGACATGTTTAATAGCAAAAAGTAAAAAATACAGTTTTTTCTCTCAAAATTGTCGGTCTTTTTTTGTTTAGAACACAAAAAATAAAAAGTGCAGAGACAATCAAATACCACCAAAAGAAATCTCTATTTGTGGGAAAAAAGGATGTAAATTTCATTTGGGTGCAGCGCTGCATGACCGCGCAATTGTCAGTTAAAGTAGCGCAGCACCGTTTCGCAAAAAATGGCCTGGTCACGAATGCGGGGGGGAGGGGGGGGGGGTTATAAATCCTCTGGAGGGCAAGTGGTTAAGAAATCACTTTTGAGAAGTACCCCCCTAGAATTTCTGGCAGTGGCCATCTTAAGTAAGGGCAGTTGATTCATGTAACATTTACTCGATGGAATCCATCTGCCCTTAGCTCAGGCATGCAGACAGGAAGGCGTGCTTAGTTGAGAAAACCCATCCTAAAGACTCCTGAGTTGTATGACATCATTTTGGCCTAGACCGGAAACCAGGAAGTAACTGAAATATTAAAATAAAAAGTTTAAAACAATATATTTATAAAATTTGTCATGGAAGCATGCTAAATCAACCATTTGTTTTTTGTACATAGTACATTGTATATCACATAGTATATATTTTTCTTAGATTGTAAGCTCACTGGATCAGGCCCTCCTATCCGTTTTGTATTGAACTGTATTGTCTCCCGTTATATTGTAAAGCGCTGAGCAAACTGTTGGCGCGATATCAGGGGGGACTGACAACTCATGGGGCCCCCGGGCAATAGGGGATCATGGGGCCCCTGTGTCCTTGCCCAAACTCACAAAAGCCTATGAAAAAAGGTACCAGGGGCATCTCATGGGGCCCCCTACTGTCCCCGGGCTCTCGGACAGTGCCCAAGTTTCCAAATGGTCAGTCCGCCCCTGGGCGATATAAATCCTGTATTATAATAATAATAATCTAAATATACTTTCCTATCTATTTACTAATGCATAAGGATCAAAATACTCCATGTTAATTGAGAGAGTGAAATTGAACTAGAGAGCGCCTGGAAAAAAAAAAAGGATGCACGCTTTTGTACGCCACACGCAATTTTTCTTGCGTTCCTGCACTGCGCCAATCTGAATGGAGCATTAGAAACATTTTTTGGCAAACCTTCTGGCTCACAGTTTTTGTGTTGCTGTCTGTGCCTTTGTGTCCCGCGTCATCATACTGCAGTGGCACCCCAATGCGATAGAGGAATTGCACAGTGCACCTCAGTAGAGGATGAGGCAACTGACAGGGGTTCTAACCCCCCCCCCCCCCCCACTGTAAAAAAAGGTTTTTCCTTTATTTTCACTTTAAGTTCAATGTTAGTATAATAATGAAAGACGTGCTCCCTGGAAGCACACTAGAGTCTCCTTTCACGGCTAAACGGTAAAGCAGAGGGATTATAGACGCGGTATGTTTACCTTCCTCAGATTTGGTTGTTGGTGATGATACATAAAATCATAAACTGTGATAAGCTGGAGAGAAACCAAACCCATAATAATGAGAAAATGTGTTTAAAAAGGGAAGCGGGTGAGCCCTCCCCCCCCAATCTAAGTGTACAAAAGGGGGGGGGAAGTGAACTCGTTCTCAGTATTGATTAGAGCCCTGATACCCAATCTGTGGCCTGGAGGGCACATGCGACCCTTTGGCACTTATTGTGTGGCCCTCAAGGCCCCTGCGAACGGTACTCAGAGTTTTGTGCTACCTCCAGCCAGTCTCTCCATCTCCCGTGCCATGACCAGTCTCTAGACCATCTCCCGTAGTATGTCTGCAGTCTCTAGACATCTCCCGTAGTATGTCTGCAGTCTCTAGCATCTCCCGTAGTATGTCTGCAGTCTCTAGACATCTCCCGTAGTATGTCTGCAGTCTCTAGACATCTCCCGTAGTATGTCTGCAGTCTCTAGACATCTCCCGTAGTATGTCTGCAGTCTCTAGACATCTCCCGTAGTATGTCTGCAGTCTCTAGACATCTCCCGTAGTATGTCTGCAGTCTCTAGACATCTCCCGTAGTATGTCTGCAGTCTCTAGACATCTCCCGTAGTATGTCTGCAGTCTCTAGACATCTCCCGTAGTATGTCTGCAGTCTCTAGACATCTCCCGTAGTATGTCTGCAGTCTCTAGACATCTCCCGTAGTATGTCTGCAGTCTCTAGACATCTCCCGTAGTATGTCTGCAGTCTCTAGACATCTCCCGTAGTATGTCTGCAGTCTCTAGACATCTCCCGTAGTATGTCTGCAGTCTCTAGACATCTCCCGTAGTATGTCTGCAGTCTCTAGACATCTCCCGTAGTATGTCTGCAGTCTCTAGACATCTCCCGTAGTATGTCTGCAGTCTCTAGACATCTCCCGTAGTATGTCTGCAGTCTCTAGACATCTCCCGTAGTATGTCTGCAGTCTCTAGACATCTCCCGTAGTATGTCTGCAGTCTCTAGACATCTCCCGTAGTATGTCTGCAGTCTCTAGACATCTCCCGTAGTATGTCTGCAGTCTCTAGACATCTCCCGTAGTATGTCTGCAGTCTCTAGACATCTCCCGTAGTATGTCTGCAGTCTCTAGACATCTCCCGTAGTATGTCTGCAGTCTCTAGACATCTCCCGTAGTATGTCTGCAGTCTCTAGACATCTCCCGTAGTATGTCTGCAGTCTCTAGACCATCTCCCGTAGTATGTCTGCAGTCTCTAGACATCTCCCGTAGTATGTCTGCAGTCTCTAGACATCTCCCGTAGTATGTCTGCAGTCTCTAGACATCTCCCGTAGTATGTCCGCAGTCTCTAGACCATCTCCCGTAGTATGTCCGCAGTCTCTAGACATCTCCCGTAGTATGTCCGCAGTCTCTAGACATCTCCCGTAGTATGTCCGCAGTATCTCCCGTAGTATGTCCGCAGTCTCTAGACATCTCCCGTAGTATGTCCGCAGTCTCTAGACATCTCCCGTAGTATGTCCGCAGTCTCTAGTCTCTATGTCCGCAGTCTCTAGACATCTCCCGTAGTATGTCCGCAGTCTCTAGACATCTCCCGTAGTATGTCCGCAGTCTCTAGACATCTCCCGTAGTATGTCCGCAGTCTCTAGACATCTCCCGTAGTATGTCCGCAGTCTCTAGACATCTCCCGTAGTATGTCCGCAGTCTCTAGACCATCTCCCGTAGTATGTCCGCAGTCTCTAGACATCTCCCGTAGTATGTCCGCAGTCTCTAGACATCTCCCGTAGTATGTCCGCAGTCTCTAGACATCTCCCGTAGTATGTCCGCAGTCTCTAGACCATCTCCCGTAGTATGTCCGCAGTCTCTAGACATCTCCCGTAGTATGTCCGCAGTCTCTAGACATCTCCCGTAGTATGTCCGCAGTCTCTAGACATCTCCGTAGTATGTCCGCAGTCTCTAGACCATCTCCCGTAGTATGTCCGCAGTCTCTAGACATCTCCCGTAGTATGTCCGCAGTCTCTAGACATCTCCCGTAGTATGTCCGCAGTCTAGACTGTAGTCATCCCATCTCCAGTATGTCCGCAGTCTCTGGTCATCCCCGTGTCCGCAGTCTCTGGTCATCCCCACTGTCCGCAGTCTCTGGTCATCCCCTGCACTGTCCGCAGTCTCTGGTCATCCCCTGCACTGTCCGCAGTCTCTGGTCATCCCTGCACTGTCCGCAGTCTCTGGTCATCCCCTGCACTGTCCGCAGTCTCTGGTCATCCCCTGCACTGTCCGCAGTCTCTGGTCATCCCCTGCACTGTCCGCAGTCTCTGGTCATCCCCTGCACTGTCCGCAGTCTCTGGTCATCCCCTGCACTGTCCGCAGTCTCTGGTCATCCCCTGCACTGTCCGCAGTCTCTGGTCATCCCCTGCACTGTCCGCAGTCTCTGGTCATCCCCTGCACTGTCCGCAGTCTCTGGTCATCCCCTGCACTGTCCGCAGTCTCTGGTCATCCCCTGCACTGTCCGCAGTCTCTGGTCATCCCCTGCACTGTCCGCAGTCTCTGGTCATCCCCTGCACTGTCCGCAGTCTCTGGTCATCCCCTGCACTGTCCGCAGTCTCTGGTCATCCCCTGCACTGTCCGCAGTCTCTGGTCATCCCCTGCACTGTCCGCAGTCTCTGGTCATCCCCTGCACTGTCCGCAGTCTCTGGTCATCCCCTGCACTGTCCGCAGTCTCTGGTCATCCCCTGCACTGTCCGCAGTCTCTGGTCATCCCCTGCACTGTCCGCAGTCTCTGGTCATCCCCTGCACTGTCCGCAGTCTCTGGTCATCCCCTGCACTGTCCGCAGTCTCTGGTCATCCCCTGCACTGTCCGCAGTCTCTGGTCATCCCCTGCACTGTCCGCAGTCTCTGGTCATCCCCTGCACTGTCCGCAGTCTCTGGTCATCCCCTGCACTGTCCGCAGTCTCTGGTCATCCCCTGCACTGTCCGCAGTCTCTGGTCATCCCCTGCACTGTCCGCAGTCTCTGGTCATCCCCTGCACTGTCCGCAGTCTCTGGTCATCCCCTGCACTGTCCGCAGTCTCTGGTCATCCCCTGCACTGTCCGCAGTCTCTGGTCATCCCCACTGTCCGCACTGTCATCCCCTGCACTGTCTCTCTGGTCATCCCCTGCACTGTCCGCAGTCTCTGGTCATCCCCTGCACTGTCCGCAGTCTCTGGTCATCCCCTGCACTGTCCGCAGTCTCTGGTCATCCCCTGCACTGTCCGCAGTCTCTGGTCATCCCCTGCACTGTCCGCAGTCTCTGGTCATCCCCTGCACTGTCCGCAGTCTCTGGTCATCCCCTGCACTGTCCGCAGTCTCTGGTCATCCCCTGCACTGTCCGCAGTCTCTGGTCATCCCCTGCACTGTCCGCAGTCTCTGGTCATCCCCTGCACTGTCCGCAGTCTCTGGTCATCCCCTGCACTGTCCGCAGTCTCTGGTCATCCCCTGCACTGTCCGCAGTCTCTGGTCATCCCCTGCACTGTCCGCAGTCTCTGGTCATCCCCTGCACTGTCCCCCTGCAGTCCGCAGTCTGGTCATCCCCTGCACTGTCCGCAGTCTCTGGTCATCCCCTGCACTGTCCGCAGTCTCTGGTCATCCCATCTGCACTGTCCGCAGTCTCTGGTCATCCCCTGCACTGTCCGCAGTCTCTGGTCATCCCCTGCACTGTCCGCAGTCTCTGGTCATCCCCTGCACTGTCCGCAGTCTCTGGTCATCCCCTGCACTGTCCGCAGTCTCTGGTCATCCCCTGCACTGTCCGCAGTCTCTGGTCATCCCCTGCACTGTCCGCAGTCTCTGGTCATCCCCTGCACTGTCCGCAGTCTCTGGTCATCCCCTGCACTGTCCGCAGTCTCTGGTCATCCCCTGCACTGTCCGCAGTCTCTGGTCATCCCCTGCACTGTCCGCAGTCTCTGGTCATCCCCTGCACTGTCCGCAGTCTCTGGTCATCCCCTGCACTGTCCGCAGTCTCTGGTCATCCCCTGCACTGTCCGCAGTCTCTGGTCATCCCCTGCACTGTCCGCAGTCTCTGTCTCCCCCTGCACTGTCCGCAGTCTCCATCCCCTGCACTGTCCGCAGTCTCTGGTCATCCCCTGCACTGTCCGCAGTCTCTGGTCATCCCCTGCACTGTCCGCAGTCTCTGGTCATCCCCTGCACTGTCCGCAGTCTCTGGTCATCCCCTGCACTGTCCGCAGTCTCTGGTCATCCCCTGCACTGTCCGCAGTCTCTGGTCATCCCCTGCACTGTCCGCAGTCTCTGGTCATCC